CAAAATTTCTATCACAGATTCAAAGGCGTTGGTTATGTAAATCTCTTTCTCTGCCTTTAACCTGAGTAATTTTGAGGATGGGGTGTATCATCTGCTTTCATGGTTGGACTCCTTGTGGCATCTCCAATCTTTGCATCTCTAACTAAGAGGTAATCACTTCGTGTTGTGATTGTTTCTAACCTCCATTATTATTTTGATAGAACTTGAACACTCTGTGAGAAGAAGATAGAAATGAATCCGGAAAATATTAATCAGAAAATGATAGTTGTGTTGTTGAAGAAAATGTGAAAGGGTTATCACGAAGAAAACTGCTGACATTGAATTTGTTGGAGTTGTCCTGTCAAAATTGTACAAGAACAAATTATACTTCTATATTTTCCTTGGCGCATTTTAATGTTATTGATGTCATGACAATGACATTGCAGAAAAATAAAATGACAATGAATTATGTCCTGTCAAGCCTACATTGTTGAAGTTCTTTCCAGCAACTATGTAAAGTATTTAAATTTTCCAAAATGTATCATGAACATATTTTCAGAAACATTCCATGTCATGTGAGATTTGGTAACTTGATCTTTTGAAAATTCTTATACAATCAATATATTTAGGATGTCAATTTTGAAAGAGCTACTCTGTCTAACAGAATGGGTTTCTACCTATCTACAGCTAGCTAATTATAGCTCATGTACTTGAATTTCGTAGGGTCAATCCATTTAGGCTTATTGGAGTTGGTTTGTCTGTCTGGACCATTGCTGCTGCTGGTTGTGGTTTTTCGAAAGACTTTTGGTCCATTGCAATTTTTCGCATGTGAGTCAAATTCTCTTTATTACTTAAGGGTAGTTTGCCATACCTGTTTTATGTTTTATTATTTTGTGACTGTTTTATTTGGCTTTTTTTATTAGGCTAGTGGGTGTCGGCGAGGCTTCTTTTATTAGTCTTGCAGCTCCATTCATTGATGATAATGCCCCACCTGCTAAGGTTTGTTTCAAGCAACGAGACATTACATAAGATTCACCCTTCTTTGCACATGAAATTATTTTCTAACTTTATATGCTTGTTTCGATAGTGCATTTTGAAATTATTTGAAATATACACCTTTCTTTATAGTAAAGGGTAATTTCCTCAAGGCATGTAGGTTAGTGAAACTCACAAACTGAACATCAACATGTATGTTCGTCTTATTATGAAATAAGTGTGGATTCTCATGTTATACTTTTGGGATCTAGAATGATGCAAGTATTTTGAAGAAAATAGCAGATATATAGTAGTTATGAGACACCTGTAGTCTATCACAGTGTACATTATGCTTTAATTTGTGCCAAGAGCTAATTTTATTTCTCTGAACTTGTGGAAATTGAGATTGGAGTAATCATGTGGGTTTAATCAATATTACAGTTTGCTTATTTCCTGTTCTGAGGCCCATATATTTTCTGTCTCATTTTTTGCACCTGAACTTTACATTTGATAATATGGTCTTTTCTTTTGTCAGAAAACATTGTGGCTGGGAGCATTTTACATGTGTATACCGACGGGTGTTGCAGTTGGTTACGTTTATGGTGGATTGGTATGCATATTCTTAATAACTATTTTGTATGCTTTGAAAATTTTAATGTTTCATAGGCAAATGTTTTCTTACAACTTTCTTTCTCAGTTTACGTTTTTCCTCACGTGTAATAAATATTCTCATTGTTTCTTTGCTTGTAGGTTGGGGGTTACAAGTGGCGTTTGGCATTTTGGGTGGAGGCCATTTTGATGCTTCCTTTTGCTATATTAGGCTTTGTGATGAAACCTTTGCAGTTGAAAGGTCCACGTGAAGATATAATTGCTTTTATCTCATTTTCGTTCCCCAGACATTTCCTAAATACTTCGTTCCTACAGGTTTCTCTCCTGTTGGATTTAAAAAAGCATTGGTATCTGCAGAAGATGGGTCAGAAAATCAAGGTGCTGGATCTTACTATTAACAGAAACTAAAACTGCTTGGAAAGCACTTTATCAATCTTTTGTTTGTGTAATAATTGCAAAATGGGACATTTTTTATATTTATTACAGATTTATGAATTACCAGATCTACAATTTGATTCTTATGTGTTAGTAAATGGGTTGTTTTTAGAGGACTAGTGATGTCGTGTTTGAGTGGGATTCGTTTGAAGAATTTGACAAAAGGTTAGTTTTCAGCATATTCTAATGGTCAAAGTCACAGCGAGATGTCAACAGTCGAATATAACTTCTTTGACAAAATGAATAACAAATGTGAGGCTTACTGTATGCATGCACCATGTTTTAGTAGGGGCAGTCTTTTGAGGATCTCTCTGCTTCTTATTTTTCTATTCTTCTTGTAGTGTTATTATTTTAAAAGATATATCTTGTGCGTGTCATATTAATTAATAACAGAGTAATTTTGAATGGTGAAGGAGGTGAACTGTCCACAAGAGAAGCGGTTGCTGATCAAAGTTCAAAACCTTTAAGGCAAGAGCTCATTTTACAATATTTGAGATTCTAGAGATAGCAGTTCGGATCTTCCCAGCTAAATATCTTGTCTATGTAGTAGGGTGTATGGCTGATATTATGCTTGTGTTTGACACCCATTTTGGAGAAAAAATTGATTTGCAATAGTGATTCATGGAAAAATGTGTGTTTAAAAAGTAAGA